GCTCTGTACCGGCCAAACTATCCATTTTTGAGCTTTGTGGCCATTGAGACAATTGACCAGTATGATGAACTCTATCACATATCAAAAATTCAGCGAATTTGACCGGGACCCAATTTCCATAAGATTTGTGCGGGGTCCTTTGTAATAAGGTAGGTAACTTGATTTACTTTTAATTTTATTTCGATTTAAGAAATATGCCTTTGGAATGTGGACAATTCTTTGCTAGGCACTCTTTAGACAACATTTGTTTGATCTAATAAAGGAGGCATAAAGGGGTAAGTTTAAAAAAAGGAGAAGTTTTAAATAATCCCAGTATATAAAGAATAACGAAACAATTCAACTTTGCTGCTTTATTTCTACGTAATAACAGATGTATTTACAGTATTACAAAAATAACTAAAAACAATATCCATTAACGTTATTCAGTAAGTAGATATAATCTCAAAAACGGTAAGAAATACAAAATCAATTCATTTTTGTCAGGTTACAAATCTGATACAAATGTGATTATTTTAATTGTCTAACACAGATCTTTATTTAAAATATTCACTTTTTTATTATAACCAAATAAGAAAATAGAAAAAAATATTTTTATGTCATGTTCTAATCCTCTGATATCTGATCTAATTCGTTGTTGATAATTAATTCAATTATTTCTTGTTTACACTGTGGTAATATCCAACACCTCAAAATCACGATAAATAAAATATTACAGATCTATACTATGACATATTGTTAATAGTTGAAAGTCAACTAGACATTGCGAATCTCTTACTATTAACGAGTTCGCGTTTCATTATTTCAAATAATTTACTCTTTTCTTTTTCCTCTTGCTCCATTTTTTGCAACTATTCGGTTATGCCTGATGCGAAAATAATCATTTTGCAATTAATTAAGAAAGTGGCACATTTTCATGGGCGTAGCTAGGTAGGGGCAGGGGTGTGCACAGCCCACTCCAGAAAGTCGGTACCAACTCCAGAAAAAAAAGATGTAATACATATTATCATCTTTGTCATCAGCTTAGCTTTTTTCTCTTTTTTTTAGAGGCTGTAATAAAAAGTATGGTAAAATTCTTCAAACTTTCCATGGTAACCTGTTGCCATGGAATGTTCGAGTAAAATTCATGTATAATCAATGTATATTTTACAGATTTTATTTAATATTACATACCTAAATGTTGCATGAATTTTACTTGAACATTCCCATGACAACAGGTTACCATGGAAAGTTCAAGGAATTTTACCATACTGTTTATTGCAGTGAACGTCTTTTACATACTATCAGACTTTTACTTACTTTTACAGACAAGATAAGTAGTAATTACAATGGGGATAGAGATATAAGACAATTTGTATAAATTTAGAGTAAAAATATAGCATCAGAAAATTTGCAAAAATTTTGATAAGAAAGAGAAATTGATTTTAGTGCCTTGTTTGCAAGAAATAGTTTCAGCGTATTTCACTTTTTAACTTTATGTGCAAATTACCTTCTGAAAACTGTTACTATTTCCTGTATATCTCTATGATAAATTACCGACTATAATATTTAAAAAACGCCGTCTCTCCTGAAGTAGTTAGGATTTTTAAGACACCTATTTAGAGGAAGATGGCTTATTTATTTATGAAAAAATGATCTAAAGAAAATGAGGCATATATCTCGGATTTGCCATTATAACCAGTGAATATTGATAGGTACACTTAAAAACATTTAGTTTGTTAAATAATTACATTCAGAAGAATTACCATTCACCATTTAGATAAACTGTATTTATTTATTTGCTGATACGATGGTGACTAACCTACTCCATATGACATTGCAATTGCAAAACGTATTATTATACAATTATTATAGAACCGCTTTTTTTAATTGATGGTTGTACTGTCCTCGGACTATTTCTATTAAACAAGGAGTTCTCACTATGTCCAATATTCAGTAAAATATTTTTTCACGATTCTACATAATTAACTATTATTGTCTTTATCTCGTATCGTATATGCACAATGATTTTACATCTATACAAATTTAAATATAAGTCTATGTTTTATGTTACTAACCCTATAAATCTTATATCTGAAATTGACTGCAATAAGTAACTAAGAAAATATACAAGAATATTTCTTAAAATAGGTAAAACTGAATAATGCAACATTTAATAAATTACTTTATAAATTATGCATATTGTCTGTTTGCAAGGATATAATCTAAAGTAATAATCGTTTAATCGACAGTTCACCATGTAGTAACCAGTAAGATATGTTGTGAAGTGGATATGTATACATACAAAGAAAGTTAATATTTCGGGTTGACCGTCTTGCAAATATAGTATATTTACAAAAGATTCTAATTTTAACTTCAACACGTTTACTAAATCGTAAGTTCGATTGTTCCTGAATTTTCTGTAAATATGTGCCTAGTATATTTTGAAATAAGGATCGAGTTGCAGTCATAGTCTTGTTTGATTAGACAGCCCCACCAAAAACGAAAGTTCTGTACCAGAGACTTGAATACATAGATTTTGTATATTTTTCATGCTGTATACGAATCCGTAGCTCAAAAAATAATCTACAAGGACATTTTTTAGTAAAACGCTAAATATTCCTTAAAATGGGTGAAATAGTGGCGATAAGGTAGAGCTTTAATAATGACAAGCAACAATTTGTAAGTACTTTGTGAAATAATATTTTGAGCATTGGAAAAAAGTATATGCAAACTAAATCCACATCCACCCCTACGAGGTGTTAATTTTACGCCTGAAATCAAATAACAATGTGAAAAACAATGACCTTGTATTTTATACTAACAAGCATATAAATGTAGGTAAAACATATCAAAAAATATATAATATGACTTATCACTCTAAGGGTTACCGCGGGTTTTTGAGGTCGCTGATTACGAATCCGAAGTCCGAATCCGAAAATTCCTGAATAAAAGATGGCGCATCCAAAACGGCTAATGTAAAAACCGGAAAAGCTTTCAAAATTTGAAGATTGTGGCTGAAACTTGTTAGTCGTTGGTTTTCAAAGTTTTTAATCGCAAATATAATATAGGTACCTATTAGTTCGGAAATTCTTAAATCCAAAATAACGAACTCATTATGACGGATCGAAAAGTACCATAGAAATTGGTATTTACTACCCAAAGAATGCTTTATGAATATTTAAAAAATTGAATCATTTGACTAAAAATAGATAAATGTCTAAAAATGAGAAAGAAAGAATATAAATCCTGTTTGCAGTAAATACTTTGGAAAGGGTTGAAGGAGAGTGAAAAATGATAGATAAGGGTGAAATATGGTAGTCGGTTGATGACGTAGGGAGCATTTGTTCATTTATTATGAGGGCGTTTTAAAAACGTAACTATAGAAAAATATAAACACACAAGCACCAGTCCACCCACACCAGTCTAACTACAAGAAATTCGTAAGTTAGTACCTATGTCGTATGTCGTTTCTAGTTAGTCGAAGAATTTTCACCGTTATAGTAAAAATTAATTGCGATTTAGTTAACGTGTAGAAGTTTATTTTATAATTATAAATTATAACAGTTATAATTGATATGACAAATATTTCATGAGAATTAACGTTAACCTAATTTAAACACACCAGTATTTTAATCATTGTGAGTAAGCTAAATAAAATACTAAATATTATAAATAAATTAATAATGTAGTGTATACAGGGTGTCCCATTTTAAATTACACACCTGGATATCCTGTCAGCGAAGCCACCAATGCGAAAATAACTCCTACGAAAGTTGTTGGATTTGGAGGGTGACGTGGGAAGGTGATCTTGAATTTAACCTTGACCTTGACCTTCAAGATCATTTGAAGGTCAAATTTAATTTTTTAATTAGGAACCTCTATTTTTGACCCCGGATCCAGAAAGAGCACAAATTTTTACGTAATAGGTTGGTAAGGCTCTTCTTTGTGAAGGTCAAATTGAAGGACACCATCTGATGTCAACCTCCGAACCCAACAACTTTCATGAGGGTTATTTTCCGACTGGTGGTTTCCCGACGCGACATTCAGGTGTGTAAAATAAATATTTTGTTCCTGAAATAACTTTTAAAGATCATTCCAAAGAAGAGCCTTAAGTACCTCCCTAAACGTAATATTTTGCGGTCTTTCCGAATCCAGGATCAAAAATAGAGGTTCCTATTTGAAAAATTTGATTTGACCTTTAAATGCCCTTGATGGTCAAATCGAAAGTCACCATCCGATGTCTCCCTCGGAGATATTCAGGTGTGTAATTTAAAATGGGGTATATTTGAAAGTATTACAATAAAGGCTTCATAACTTTAAAGAAAAACATCATTAATACTCATTTATAAAGTATGCCATGTAAAGAAATAATTTTTATTATTTTTAGTTAATGGATGGCAATTTTTACTTTTTAACTTTTTAAATAGTTTTATGTATGTCGTTATTAAAACTGATGGTTGTGCAAAACCGCTCTTATTTAATTTAGATATGTATTAAGAGTATAAAAACAAATTATATATGTATGCTTAGTCGGATCAGTTTTGCCCAACTCATCGGTTTATAACTCAATTTTGTGCTAATTATCACATGTGTTGAGTGTAACGAAAATTATAATTGAACACTTAATTTTGCTTACAAAATTGTAGCAATTTAAAGATTATTGTCGTTTTTGGCTAGATATTTTAAAACCAATATAAAAATAAATAAAGTTATTGTTACTTCTAAGACACTGTTTCTTATTAGTTTATTAGGTACTTCTAATGATAACGTTTTACATACTACTAGTCATTTCTTCTAATGGGGTTGATTATCCTGACAATAATGTATTTAAATTACCAATTCATTTAATAAAATCTCTAGTGCTAAAATATTTTATATTGAAATAATGTACATTCGATTCATGTTCATATAACTTTTTTTAAATATGAAATAATTGTTTTTTTACTAAACTTGCTTCAACCCCTTCGAAAAAATAACCTCAACTAGGTAAAATATACTTATACTTAATAACAATATTCAGTTTAAGTCTCTTCGTCATTTTCATCATAAGAATGTATAGTGGGGCAACATAATCCTTCCGATCCATCTGCTCTAATACAGAACAGCCAAGTTTCAGCTGTAGATACCTCATGTGGCATTATGCCATGGAACTCTTTCAAATCGTTGGCTGGAAACCATGCTTTTTCATTGTCGTCGATAAGAACAATTCCAAATAACCTAATGAAATAGTAATAATTAATAACTGCAAGAAAGTATTGCAATATACTAATTCAATTAAGTTATATTATGTAATCGAACATATGCCAATATAGACGATGGATTGTATTTCATTTGCCACCATCGGCATCTCGTAAGCTGTAACATACAATGTGGATTAAATTATAATTCTCTACTGAGATCTTAGATTATTGTGAGTGAAAGTACAGCTCAAAGAAAGAGGTTAGTTATTGTTTATTATTCTCTAACAATACATAGATTCACGGATGTACCACGTATAAAAACTAAAAAACTATCTAAAAAGTGCTTATCATCAAGTAGGTACCCATCTTAGCGGAAAAGAGACAGTATGCTGCATTTGAAGCATGCAGAAACCAGTGTCAATTTCGACGTATTTGTTTTGGATGAACTACTTGCAAGTTTCCAAAGAACTATTGATTGGATCATTAGAAAAGAAAACCTAAAATATAGATTTCATTAGATGACATGACCGTGGGAAAGATCAACACAAGATTTCAATTTAAAAAATTTTTTAGAAGTTAAAGACAAATTAATATTTTCAACTTCGAATTAATATGTTCTTAAATATTCTGTAAATAATAATATTATAAGGCCTGACCGTGAATCTCTTCGTCCAGTAATAAATCTGCCTGCAGTGAAGGATGCTGTCTCTTTACGAAGAGTTCTGGATTCCAAAATTCTCCTTTACTATACACGTATTGATGCCTAACAGCAAATTTCCACACGGTGCAAACAATTGAAGAACTAAAATCGGTGCCTTCAAACATACTATAACAGCCACATTAATTCAACACGAACGACCTACATTTGTTTTTCAAGAAAGTGAACGAAAGCACTCCTCCGTTGAAAAGGAAGCCTATGCGATGACTAAATAAGTAGAGACATTATTTGAAGGAACTTTTTACATTCTGCGTTCTACGGATTTATTTTTCCATTGCTTTAAATTACCTTCTCGAAGGAAACGATTTATCGATTCCAGAACTTTTAGAAAACTTTTGTAGCGTGTATCTTGTTTGTTCCGAGAATCGCCTAAGACGTCCAGTAGACTAAACCTCATTTTTTAAATATCTTAATTTTTCTCCTTTATTTGACTTGTCAGATTTTGGTTGAAAATATATAAATAATTAATTCAGTCGAAAACAATATTTACGACGTCAAATAAATGTAAACAAACGTCTCCTATAAAACATGAAAGACATTCTTTGTCATCCAGTGTTAGGAAGTCATCTATAATGATTTTCTTCAAGCATATTCGCAATGTTCTAAATAGGCTACAATATATCCTCTCAAATCTGTCATCTTCTTATTATACGAAACATCGTTTATCAATCTATTTCGAAGCAAAACTAGATAATTCATAATTCTCCATATTCTTTCTTCCATGGATATTTTATTGCCAGGAAAGACAATTTTAGTCAAAAAATGAAAATAAAAAAATGAATTTATTTTAGGTAGCATATGGCTGGTCCAAAATTATTTCTTTTTACTCTCACCATTCTAATTACCTAAGATGTAAAAATTACCGAATCACACCACTGCCTATCAGTAATCTCTAAGAGTCTTTGGATCTGGTAGTTATAGTCGCTGTTTAATCTCAGTGATCCATCGATATCCAGGAAGTTAAGTTAATTTGGAAAGGATTTTACATTTTATGTCGATATGATTCCATGGTTATTTGTTTTGTCTATATTCAGACGCACCTTTTTTATAAATAGCCAAAATTTCATGCATGTGTTGTCAAATAAATCTGGATCATTTTATATATCTTTCTCCTCACATTGTTATTTTTTAAACTATCAAAGTTGTTTTCTACTATACCATTACTCACCCGTTCACAGCCTGTATCAGACTAAAACAGTGAACCAGACCACAGGGAAAGGTGGGGTAAATATTTTTTTAAATTAATAATTGTATAAACTATTCATAGTAAAACATATTCTCTATATTTCCATTTGCAGACGCACTTATAGACATTTAATAGAGAGGACTGATCGCGTATACTGCCTTTCGGTAGTTTTGCGACATACTTGCATCATCCCATATATTCTGGTTGGAAGGTTGTTAGTTTTATTATACTTTTATCACAGTGTCTGTGCTCAGTGTAAGTGTTTGTTGTTATATTGCATACATATGTCAAGATAGTCCTTAAACGGTATGTTTAAGGACTATCTTGTTTCTTCATTAAATGTTTTACTTTTTAGCACCAAAATAACGCATTTGAACCATATATCAAACTGAGTAATGTTTTTAAAATTTATTGCAGCCGCTTCAACAACTTCTGGCACTCACTTGTCGACAATTCCTCCCACGTCTTTGCTCCATAAAGTGTGCACAACGGAAGTGTCCAGTTATCCAATTCTCCAGTCGATTTTATTTTTTAGCTGCTTAGATAAGTATCGATATGCATGTTTCGTTAAAAACACTCGAAATAAAAAACAAGTGCAATTAGCTTGTCTTCCTCCAACCTCAGTTGCTGCTCATCAACATCTTTTTCGGGTATATTACCAAGTTCAAGTGTGGCCTAGTTATCAGCTAGAAGCTAGACCCAAAAGACTAGGATTGGAAGTTGGTCGACAATACATTAGAACCAATTCAGACTTTACCCCCACCTGCGCCGGAAAAACTGCTAAACACAATTTTTTGCAACTGTAAAAAGGGATGCAGTGCTAAATGTGGTTGCAAAAAAGTTGGACTGTTTTGTTCTCTGGTATGTACAAATTATCAAGGCCGGTTGTGTTCTAATGTTGAATCACAGTAGAGGATTCGTTTGATACCAACGAAGAGACATGCGATAGTTACACCCAGAATGAAGAAGGAGAAGAAGAAGAAGAAGAAGAAGAACAAGAAGAAGTATTTGAAGGTTATCAGACGAATAAATTCCTCTACTTTTTTTAATTTCCATCGCTTTTATCATTTCCAACCCTTGCTAATATCTGTTATTATGCAATAGTTTCAAACTAAACAGAATCACAACAGACCTGTGGAATAGGCCTACTGGGGAAACCACGTTAAAAAAGCGCGCTAAGTACACTACCTCATAGGTGGCGTGGAAACGTGTGCATATTATGACGATTACAACTTTTACAACTTTTTGAATCGTTATATCTCAGAAACGGTAGCTCTTAGGAAAAAAAAGTATTGATACATTTTTTATAGATAATTTTATGATCTACAATTTTTGTCAGAAGTAATTTTATGATAAAACTTACCGTTTAGCTGAAAAACGCGAAAAACCCATTTTTTTTTTACCTTTGACCTCGAAGAAATTTTTTTCCGAGTACCGGAATAATGAAAAATTTTAATATGTTATTTTTAATTATGTTTTGAACAACTTTACTCACTTTCAGCTTGTTGTAATTTTATGTATCTTTGAATGTCTAGATTGACCGGACTATATATGTAATTTATTTTCTTCTTGATAAAGAAGAAGTTAAATAACAAATAAAACTACTCCTTAAATGAATAAATTTAAGAAGCATACAGTGATAACAGTGGAAGTTTATAAAGTGATATCGCTGCATTTTTGTTTGCCACTTAATGTCGTTTAAGCGCTTTAATAATTATTATTGCATTGAATTTAACAACATAAAAATATTTCAGTAATGCAGACCGTTAACAGGGTGTTCCACTGGGAACTGCAACAATCGATATCTTGGAAAATTTTGAAAATTTGGCATATGGCAAAGTCCCTGGGGCGAACTCACCAACTTCGTTATTTTAAATGTATATTATTCCATTTTCCGGATTCTACGGAAAATTTTAAGGACGTTTTGTTATATCTCGAAATCTATTACTCTTAGCCATAGGGAATATTAACAAAACGACCCTAAAATCTGCCTTCGAAAATACAATACAATGGAGTGTTCCATTTAAAATAACAAAGTTGGTATCGACTTCCGGTATAACCAGAAGTGCTGGAGAGTTCTAGATGTTTTAGTTGTGTTCGCCTCAGGGACTTTGCCATATTGCCACATTTTCAACTCGTATAAGGAAGTCTTTTCTACACGTTTTAAATCTTCTTTTTGGAAGATTATATTTTAATCAAATAACAAACTAAGATTCTAAGGTAACTTTTTATATATTTATAATTTAATTTTTAAATAAATCTATTATCAGTATTATTATTAGAGACCGACCGATTAATCGGCTTCGGCCACATTCGGCCATTATTTAAACCTTCGGCTAAGAATCGGCTTCGGCCAATATTAAGCCGAACTTTTCGCCGAAGCCGAAGGTACCGTTCGGGACGCCGCTAGACTTAACAAATCTAATCAAATTAGGGTTATATTAGCCCCTTAATACTACAAATAACACTGCCAAATTACAACAAAATTGGATAAAAGGAATTTAAGATATTTACGAAATAGCATTTTTGTATAAAAGTTTAACACCCTGTATCTTGAAAACGAAGTATCTGCGGACCAATGTTTATATGAACTTTTTGTATTAAAATCACTCAAATAATCGTCTGTTGAATTTATTGTACATACTTAATTAACACTCTATATTATGTGTATTATATTTCCAAAACATAATGCATTTATTTTTTACATTCTTTTATGTTCTTATCTATCTTATCATATTTTGGTAATTAATTAAAATTTTTAAGTATAAAAATACCTATCTTCGGTTTCGGCCGAAGGTGACCCATAAACCGAGGTTCGGCTTCGGTTTCGGCTTCGGCCAAAAAAATCACATTCGGTCGGTCTCTAATTATTATTATTGTTATTTAAGTTGCACCACACATTAAACAAAACCAGATAGTCTTTAAACTGATAAATCAATTTTTTTTTATTATCTACTCTTGCACATTGATAAAATAAATTTAAATTAACTGCCAAACTTTCGTTTGGAATAGTAGCTACAGCTTCTGTTTTCAAAGCACTCTTCGGGAAAATACAAAATTTGATATTGATGATATTGGTTAAAAGAATACACCGTATCATATGATACATCATCGTAACCAGAAAACTGCACTGAATTCAGAAATGAGAAAATGCTATAAGATAAAAAAGGTGTCACGAGTAAAACAGTTACATTTGAATTCCTCACAAAAAGGTGCTTTAGCTTACTTTAAGAAATCTATCATCTTCCTTTTTGACTAAAAGAAATAAAAACGGAAATACAAATTTTTAGATTTTCTAACCGAAAAAGCCTATAAAAAAACCCTATATTTCTTAAGTAATCCGATATCCCAATGTTGTCACAACCTTGTTGTGATTTTTACTTTAATTTTCTCTTTTCACGACAAAGCTACAGAAGCAGTGGAAAATAGTCCTATGCATGATTAGTTACAACTCGAAAACAAATGGAGGTATAAAATTCTTTATTTGATAACTGAATTTATCTTGAAAACTAAGCATGAAAATGTGTCAATTGTCTCCTGGGTTTCCGTTGAAAATACAGTATTTTCATACAAAATTTAATTACCTTGCAATAGCAGCTCCAGGAATCCATAAAACAGAAGTTAACACCAAAGCGATAATCAAAAGAACTGCCCAAACGGGCCATGTATGTTGTTCAGTTTCTCCTTTTGAAGATACCCAAGCAGCATAACCAGAACCATCGACTGCGATTTCCACAAAGCTGGCTACTAGAATAGAAAGCATAGCCAAAGGTGAAAGATACTTCCAGCAAATCAGCCAGTAAAGTCCAGGGCGTTGGCCAGTCATCATTTCTATATCGTCAGCGAACCTAAAGCAGAACGAAGAAACTTTTTATTCAGTCGGGTACAAAACACTACAGCACTAAATGGCTGAATTAATTTACATGAAAAAAAAAATCATAAAAAAATACTGTATTATTGCGCTCCTCCATTGTGCGCAAAATTGTCATATGTAAATTGTATGATTTTACAAAATATATATTACTTTTATAATTTATTAATATTTGTAATTTACAAATATCTTTGTTTTTATAGTAGAAAAGAGCATATTATCATTGAGCGTGAAAAAACTCATATGTGGCGTTTAGACCGGTTTTTAGTTTGTAAATGCAATTGGTTGGTTTTCATTTCTTTTATCATTTAATGAAACCTGCTAGTTACAAATTATAATAATTCTAGTACCTATAAAACCGTGTTTTTGTAAACCTCCTATTTGCAAAATAATTGATATGTCCATATACATAGGACATTTTTAACGAATATTATAAACCACATAGGATGTTTTTTCAGTGGTTGGTACGATGTACATACGATTTATTATTTAAATCAAAATACCAAAAAATGTTAAAAAAATACTCCTATGTGTTTATATAATTTTTAAGAATTACTCCTATACAGGGTGTTAATGAATAGGTGTTACAAACGGATATGGTATGTAAAAAATCCAAAAATAAGTGCAGTTTACTTAATAAACATATGTCCTAAAGTGGCTCATTTTCGAGGTACAGGGCGTTGAAATTTAAAAATAATAAACTATTTTTTCCTGTAGCTCCGGTATTAGTTAATATTTCTTTATCAAACTCAACAGACAGATTTACTAGCTTAAAGGATGCATAAATATGGCAGAAACCATTTATTGGCTTCTTCTAGTGGCGTGCGATAGGTGTCGTTTCACCTTTTATCCCCCCTAAATTGTGCGGCACTGTACAAATATTAGTTTTTCGTATGTTTTTGAATTTGCTAGTATTTTTTACGTAAATAATGTATACTTGTTAGACTTCCATAAAATGAGTAATTATCAAGTTATTAACATTTACATTACTGAGGTCACCTTATGCTCCAAAAACCAAAAATTTTTAAAAAGTGACATGTTGAGTAAATTTTTCACGAAATTGTTTAGTAAATGCATACATGTGTCGCTTTTTCTTTTTGAGATACAAAACATTCAAGGTTTCCGTATTCCTCAAGCAAGTTTAAAATGTTGGAAAAAAAACATTTGCCGTTGACATTACTTGTATTTTAATGTCAAATTATTTTCGATTGTGAAACGAGGCAGTTTTTAATTATTATTGTTATTTTAGTGTAAAGTTTAGTTTGTAAGTTTTAATTATTAGATAGATATCTTTATCCATTCGTTTAAAACATTCATACATCATGAATGAATATACTTCTGCTGATTATGCAAACATGATATTAATGTACGGTCAAGCGCGTTGTAATGGCAGGGCTGCCCGTCGGTTATACTCAATCCGATTTCCAAATCGTCCAACCCCTTCACATAAGATATTTGGAAGAGTGTTTCGCAGGTTGCAGGAAACAGGAACTTTTACAACAAATAGGGTTAACTGCGGGGTAAGGAGAAACCGCAGAACGATAAGGTTCGAAGAAGAAGTTCTTAATAGGATAGAAGAAAACCAATCCACCAGCAGTCGAAGTATTGCTCAGAATATGCATGTAAACCATGTAAGCGTTTGGCAAGTTTTACGCGAGCAACAGCTTCACGCTTATCATATACAAAAGGTTCAAGCTTTAACTCCCGCCGACTTTCAGCCACGACTAAACTTTTGCCATTGGTTTCTTCAACAGTGTCAGTTGCAAGCAAATTTTCCGCGGTTTGTGCTTTTTACAGACGAAGCATCCTTCACACGAGAAGGGATCTTTAATTCTCGCAACAACCATGTCTGGGCTGAAGAAAACCCTCACACCATTCGCTCCACTAGATTTCAGCAGAAGTTTGGCGTCAATGTCTGGGCTGGTATAATTGACGGGCGCTTAATTGGTCCGCACCTTCTTCCAAATCGTCTTACAGGTCCTATTTATTTAACGTTCCTACAACAAGTACTTCCAGAATTATTAGAAAATGTGCCATTGAACATTCGACAGGAAATGTGGCTGCAGCATGATGGTGCGCCAGCGCACTTTTCGCTTGTTGTCCGAGATCACCTTAATCAACAATTCGGTGTAAGATGGATTGGCCGTGGAGGACCTATGGCGTGGCCACCACGTTCCCCAGACATGACCCCGCTTGACTTTTATTTGTGGGGCCATATGAAGAGTCTAGTTTATGAAACTCCTGTTGAGTCAGAAGAAGATTTGGTAGCACGCATTCTAGCTGCAGCGCAGGAGATCGAAACGACGCCTGGCACTTTTGACCGAATGTACACAAATATGCTTCGAAGAATTAACGCTTGTATCGCTACTGGTGGCCGTAATTTTGAGCATTTACTGTAATTTTTTTGTGCAAAATAAAAATACCTTTTAAACAACTTTAACTTTTTGTATCTCGAAAACTAGCATAGCATAGAAAAACATAGTTTTTGGAGCATAAGGTGACCTCAGTAATGTAAATGTTAATAACTTGATAATACTCATTTTATGGAAGTCTAACAAGTATACATTATTTACGTAAAAAATACTAGCAAATTCAAAAACATACGAAAAACTAATATTTGTACAGTGCCGCACAATTTAGGGGGGATAAAAGGTGAAACGACACCTATCGCACGCCACTAGAAGAAGCCAATAAATGGTTTCTGCCATATTTATGCATCCTTTAAGCTAGTAAATCTGTCTGTTGAGTTTGATAAAGAAATATTAACTAATACCGGAGCTACAGGAAAAAATAGTTTATTATTTTTAAATTTCAACGCCCTGTATCTCGAAAATGAGCCGCTTTAGGACATATGTTTATTAAGTAAACTCCAATTATTACTGAATTTTTTACATACCATATCCGTTTGTAACACCTATTCATTAACACCCTGTATACTAATTTGGGACGATTAAAATCTCCTATGTAGGAAAATCTCACTTGGTAACGATTAGTTGCAATAACATAATTTTTATTCACTAGGAGCGTTTAGTACTTCGCCAGTTCTTTACAAATTTAAACCAAAAACAATAGGAAATGATGTTATTTCTCCCTCCTGTAGAAAGTGATATTTTACACATAGGAGGTTTTTCATGATCAACGACGATATAGCACTGTTTCTGCTGAAAAACATTAATATAATTAGTTGAATAAAATTAATATATGTGATAGTGAGGGTTTAAAATCGCCGAGAGAAATTTCTCTCTGCTTTCTCTATTAATTCATTATTAAGAAGAAAAAATACATTTGTCGTCTTTTTTTTGAGAAGTGACTAAACGTCAATTCAAATTCTTTAAAATATATTTGTGGCTGAGGTTTCATTAGTAATTCTTAGATTAAACCTGTAAGTAAATTATAATTTTTCTGTTATTTACAGTTCTTTCAAACATTTATGAAGAATTGGCTCGTTTTTAATTATCACTATAATTGAATGACAATCTAAATATGGCAATTTGAATTTTCACTTGATTTTGGAGTATTAATTTTCATTTTTTTCTAAAACTTAAAATATTATTAGGGTAAATGTTAACAAATCCAACATCATGAACAAAGTATTAAACTAATACTTCATATACGAGTAAATAATGTTGTTATATACTCCAGTCGATTTAGAGATTAGACGTGAAAAAATTATTAGTACGAGGGTGGTCCCAGAAGTACCCGGCCTGACCTGGCGGAGATGGCGGTAGTTGTTTGAAGAATATCACTGTATTAGAAAGTACACAATCTATAAAGCATATGTTTCAAGTTTGAAGACGCCATGTTGTTTAGTATTCGTTTAACAGCCATCAATAGTGGACGTTTTCAGTGAATTTGTGAAAATGGAGAAAATTGGTCATTGTCTTGATGAAACAACACTTCCTTCTTAGCCAAATGTGGCCGTTTTTGCTTGATTTCTTCCCTCAAACGTTGCAATAAGTTCGCATAATACTCGCCATTGATAGTTTTTCCTTTTTTAAGATAGTCAATGAAAATTATCCCACGCACATCCCAAAAAAACCGACGCCATGACCTTGCCTGCAGATGGAACGGTCTTCCTCTTCTTTGGAGCCGGGTCTCTCTTTTCAGTCCATTATTTTGATTGTTCTTTTGTTTCAGGTATGAAGTTATGGACCCATGTTTCATCCATAGTTATGAAACGGCGCAAAAATTCTGCTTTGTTGCCGTGAAACTTCGCTAAACACTCAATTGAAACATCTTCACGACACTGTTTTTGCTCGAGTGTGAACAAACGCGGCACCCATCTTGCACACAGCTTTCTCATGTCCAAATTTTTAGATAATATGCGATGTACCGCACTATTTAAAATGCCTACTATGTCTGCTAGCTCGCACACTTTCAGTCGACAATCATCCAGTACCGCTTTGTGGATTTTCTTCACCATTTCTGGAGTCGTCACCTCATTGGGTCGACCACTGCGATGCTCTTCTTGACAGCTCGTACGGCCTCGTTTAAACTCTGCTACCCAATATTCTACTGTTGTAAACGAAGAAGCAGACTCACCCAGAGTAGAATCTAGTTCAGCTTTTATATTGGTTGGGCTGAGGCCTTTCAAATAAAAGTATTGTATCGCATAACTATGACCAATTTTCTCCATTTTCACAAATTCACTGAAAACGTTCACTATTGATGGCGTCTTCAAATTTGAAACATATGCTTTATAGATTGTGTATTTTCTAATACAGTGAAATTTTTCAAACAACTACCGCCATCTCTAGGTCAGGCCGGGTACTTCTGGGACCACCCTCGTAGACATTTTATTGCATTTTATGACGGGAAATGATATGTATGTAGAATGATAATATCGAAAACGTAACTCGAAAGAAGTGAGGCTAAGTTGGCAAATTGCAAAACAAGTGGCAAATACGAGTTTTTTCCCTTTTTTTTCTGCACACAAAAATCTAGATAACCTATCGGAACATTTCTCATTTTATGTTGTAGGCAATTACAATTGAAGCTATCTAAGACATATATATTTATTTTTTTTAATACATACAGTAAAAATTGTACACTTTTGAGCTATACAAATTTGCTTCTCACTACAGGGATCTCGGAAACGGTAAGAGGTACGAAGTAGCTTAAATGGGAGCAAAGTTGCGTAATCAGGGGACCAACATTATGCCTCTAAAAAATCAAGGCTAACATGATTAATTTTCGAAATATTTGAAAAAAGCCGAAATTTTGGAAATCCGTTTTTGTTTCATTTCAGCCTTGTTTGAGGTGATATTGAAATAAGAAGAACACTTTCTCATTGCAACTTTTTGCCCTCTATGGAATGACACAATCAATTTTTATATCTAACGTTTCGTCTCTCCAGAACCATCATCAACTTCATTTTTTTAAGTACGACCCAGGAAATTTTATTACATTTTTGCAAGCCTTCATGACTCTCAATACTGTACTGGCTCAGCCCGAACCAGATTCAGACGTTTTGTCTCGAAAAATTCATCTTCAGTGTATTCTTTCCAAATTTATCTAAATTTTTTATTTAGATTTCTTTGTTTATTGAATTATCGTACACTATAAGTGTCTTTAGACCCTGTGAAATCCATATAGTTATTTAAACTATTACCACCACGCGTTACAATAAAACATTTATTATTATTAACTATAACCATCACTTGGTCATACTTAACTCAATAAGTTGTTGCGTCAAAAACATTATTACAATTTTAATTTTATTATGACAAATTAATTCTTAACAATTTATATGAACAACCAAAACGCCGACTGAATATTAATCTTTAAAACATTTCAGTAAATGTTCAAAAACATTTTCCTTTTGGCAAAGGTTGAAAATGAAGATCAGCGTAATATTATCGGAATTTATTATATCTGTAACCACAACTGTGAAAGAGCATGTCAGATGTATTGGTATGAATATTCTGGAAAAAAATAGATCGGAATTTGTTTGAATTTTGAGCACTCGAGAAGCCTAGAAATAACTATGGACACGGGAAAAAACTCTAATAATGTTTTATTTTAATGCGTGGTGGCAATAGTTTAAATAACTAGATGGATTTCACAGGGTCTAACGACACTTACAGTGTACGATAATTCAATGGACAAAGAAATCTAAATAAAAAATTTAGATTTTGAAACGAATACACTGAAGATGAATTTTTCGAGACAAAACGTCTGAATCTGGTTCGGGCTGAGGCGGTAAAGTATTGTGGGTCATGAAGGCTTGCAAAAAATGTAATAAAATTTCCAGGGTCGTATTTAAAAAAATGAAGTTGATGATGGTCCTGGAGAGACGAAACGTTATATATAAAAATCAATTATGCCATTCGATAGAGGGGAAAAAGTGGCCATGAGAAAGTGTTCAATATCACCTCAACCAAGGCTGAAAAGAAACAAAAACGGATTTCCAAAATTTCGGTTTCTTATCAAATATATCGAAAACTAATCACGTTAGCCTTGATTTTTTAGAGGTATAATGTTGGTCCTCTGATTACGCAACTTTGCTCCCATTTAAGCTATTTCGTACCTCTAACGTTTCCGAGATCCCTGTAGTGAGAAGCGAATTTGTAACAGCCTGTATACTGACATTAGTTTCACTGTATGTCATCGAGAGAGCAGGACCTCAGCTCCTGACTGTTCTAAGAAATTAAAAAAGGTTGGTTATCACATCAAACATCTGAATTTACGGTAAAGCACAGTATGATTTATGCTAAAAAATGTATACATGTAATTGTTCAATCAGTCATACTGATACGATATGGAGGAACTGGAATAAAATCGGAATGAATGATTCAGCAATGTACAGCAAGGGCAATCTAGGGGCGAAATTGTCTTCAGGGGCAAGACACAACTATTTCAGGGACTACAGCTCTACTACTGCTTGATTTACTTAAAAAGCGATTGTAGATATAGATTCTATTTGATCCAAAAAGACGTATCGAAAAAGAAAATTTTCAAAAAGTTGAAATTGTCCCAAGGCCAGGAAATGCAGCTCGGGAATCAGCTCTTTTTGCATTTAATA